GTGTCTGCCTGCATGCTGCTATTCTCCCCACCATGCCGACAATGGACTATGGACTGAAGCAGTAAACCAGCCCCATTGGAATGCTTTCTCTTATCAGGCTTGCCATGGTCATGGTGTCTCTTCACAGCACTAGAACATTGAGACAGATCAGGAGTACCCATAGGTAAGGAGTTGTGGAACAGAGACAGGCCATTTCCTTGCTAACTAACAATTTTCTGTGAACATTCCCAGTGCCATTTGAAAGCACAACAGCCACAGTTTCTATTGTGAACAAAACTGTAAAGGGCCTTTGTGTTCTAAAAAAACAAAACAAACAAACAAAAAGGTGTGAAAGTATTAGTATAAGTTTCAAGGTATTAAAAATAAGAGTTCTTTTACCCAATAAAACTCATTCATTTTGTTCTTGTGAATTATGCCTTTAGGAAACCCAAGTGTAATATATATGGAGTGGATGCTTTCTGGTTATTTATGACCCATTTCTTACCATTAGTTTCTCTAACGGCCAATAGTTTAGAGTCACTGACCACACTGCCAGAGCCACAGGTTCCACTAGCAGTCATCCTGGCTTCTCAGAAGCTCTAACTACAGCTGCTGACATACATCACAAGACAAGATGAAAATAAATAGCCATTCAAGTTCCCCTAATCATTATCTGAGGTTAGTTTTATGTCTTTAGTGCAAGTCACATGGGTATTAAGATGTTAGACCCAAAGAGGGGACATCTTTGAGCAGAGATAATGGTAGGCCGTTATTCTTTGGGCCACTGAAGAAAGATAAGGTCTCAAACCTGTGTGATTACAATCATAAAGAAATGGTCAGAAATGTAATTGAGGCTAGAATGTAATATTCCCAGAGCAGCTATCTCAAAGACCTTCTGCCAGACTCAGGATGAAAACGTCCCAGATGACTTTGACCTGCTCGGGCATGAAGACAAGAGATGCTTATCTCGAAGGCTTATGGTTGTGTGCAAGAAATGGAAAAGCTGCTTCCCCTGCTCCCTGAGCTCTTCTGTTCAGATTAGGATGGCTCTGAGGGCCACTAACTGAACCTTGAGACAGTCTTTCCTGTCTTGTAACATTTCACAACTGAAGAAAAATTTAATTTTCTTCAAGGTCATAGGGGTGGAAAAGATGTTCAGTACATCTTGGCCTCATCTTTCTGTCAGAAGAGAAATGGAGGACAGTGTAGTTTGCCTGGCACAAAGTCCTTGGGAGTGCCACGGGGCTTGGCTGCTCACGTTGTTACACATGAGCTTGAAAGCGAACCAGGCTGGGAAGCTGAAGAAGTCAAATGAGATGAGGGCTGTTTCCCTTCGCTTCCACCCAGACACCTGTGTCTTGGCTGAAGAATAGATTTGCATTCATTTCCACAGAGTTTTTTGGGAAATGGGCTATATCCAGTGACTTCTTAATACCTCCTCACCCCCACTTCGTTACCAGCTGCTGTTAGAAGTTGCTGAGGAATCTGATTTGCCCTTAGGGAGGAGAGTTCACCCTAGTCCGATGAACAGGCACTGACGAAACTGTAGTTATCTTTCTTCTCAGAACTTAGCCACTATGTGTCCTGATCTTTGTTTATGGAACGACGTCATTGACACCTCCCCTCACACAGACACACACACACACACACACACACTGGCCACAGAACATGAACTCTGAGTTGTTTTCAGGGGTTGGTTGGGTCCAGTCCATGGGTTCGTTGTGCACTTTTGTTTTTGGTTGCTGTTGGTTTTGGACAGAGGCTTCTGTAACCAAACCTAGCCTCAGACTAGCAAACTGGCTATTTATTGGAAGTTGACCTCTGACTGGGCCTCTTTCTCCCTAGCATTGGGATTTCTAAGCTTTACCGTCATACCCGGCTTCAAAAAAAAACATTTCTATACTCAGCCATGAATTTGGGGAGATGGCTCAGGCAAATAAGGTCTCATTGCATAAATATGAAGAAAGACCTGAGTTCGGACCCAGCATGTAGAAAGCTGGGTGTGTAGGCACATCCTTGTCATGTTAACCAGGAGAGGCAGGGACTGGCAGGTCCTGGAGTTTGCTGGCTACAACTCCAGGTTCAGTGAGAGAGACACTGTCTCAAAAAAAAAATCAGGTGAGGGCAATGAGGAAAATGCCGTATGTCAGTCAACCTCTGGCGTCCTCACACATGTGAGGACGCGCGTATACTCTTGCATGCTCGTGTACATACACGTGAGCACATACCACGTATGCATGCATACAAAAAAATCAAAAAGGATTTCCAGATGGGTCAGTTAATATAATGCTTACCTCGAAAGTAGGGGGGCCTGAATTCTGACCCCTAGATCTCACATGAACGGCCAAGCGCAGCAGGCGTGTGCCTGGGGTCTCAGTGATAGCGAGATGAGAGGTGGTGATGGGAAGATAATGGAAAGCTCTGTGGCAGAGAGGTGTTTGAGACAGGGTCTTCTACCGGCTTGGGACTTGGCCACACACACACACACACACACACACACACACACACACACACACGCCTTTGAAGAAACGCCCTTCCAAAGGTTTCCTACTTACTTTGATGTGGGGGTGCTTTGCAGTGGCTGTCCCCCACACGCGAGAGCAACGCTCTTCTTTCCTGTGCTCGTAGAACTCAGGGTCTTGTAGTACAGCCACCCTCCGGCCTTCATACATCAAGGCAAACTTGATGCAGCCTTCGAGCCGAGCTTTGTCATCCGCAGAAACAGGCAGTACGATGGGAATGCTCATGTTGATGACGCCATCTACGGAAAGACACACACGATGTGTGAGTACCGTATCCCAGGCGAGGCGTCCCTCAGGACGGCTAATAGGTGCAAAACCTCTTCTGGGGCCTCAAGACCCACGTCCAACATTAGACATGCGACTGTTCTGCTTTCTCTAATGCTGTCATGGGAACTTCTTGACCGATTCTTGAGGTTGGTTGCCTCAGTAAGTAATCTTTGGGGGCAGGATGGAGATATCTCTTCTGGATTGCCTTTTAAAAACCTTGGTCCTGACCCTAGTGCGCTATGAAGAATACAGTCCTTTGTTGTTATTGTTGCTGTTGTTTTTAAGACTATCTATTAATCAATTTACTTATTTATTTAGAGAGAGGAGTGTGTGTGTGTGTGTGTGTGTGTGTGTGTGTGTGTGTGCGCACGCGTGTATGCGTCTGAGTGCACCCAGAGGTCAGAAGAGGACTTCAGATTTTTCTGGAGCTAGAGTTTTAGACAGCTGTGAGCCCACTAACACAGATACTTGGAGCTGAAGTTGGATCATCCGGAAGAGCAGCAAATACTCTTATACCACTGATCCATCTCTCCAGCCCAAAGCTTAGTCTTTGAAAACAAAAAAACAATGAAACAAAATAAAGATTGGTCAAACTGAAAGCTCTACTTGTTCTTGAAAATGAACTTGTGTCCCTGTTGGGCATTACCAACATAAATGAATTAAAAAGAAAGGAGGAAAATTACAGAGTTTACACCCCAGACAAGCAACCCCTTGATGGTTGCTTCGGGCTAGATGCAGCTCTATCTTCAAACGTTGAGAGACTGACTGTTAATCTCTCCTGTCTGGGGATAAACAGCCTTGCTAGCTCAGATACAATTAAAGCCGTCACTTAAAAAACATGGGCGTAGGGCCTGGAGAGACGCTCCCTGCTTAAGAGCTCTTGCTGCTCTTGCAGAGGAAAGAGATTTGGTTCCCAGCGCCCACACAACAGCGGTAACTCCTTCTCCAGAGGATCAAATGCTCTCTTCTGGCATCCGCAGGCATTGCTGTCATGTGGTGCACAGCCATACACGCAAGCAAAACACCCATACGTGTACAATAAAAACGAACACATCTTTAAAAAGGACATGGAATGTTACAAAGCCGTTTAGTAAACTTGGCTAAATGTGCACTTTCTCTAGAGAGTGAGAGCATCTCCCCTCTGCTGAGTTTCTCACGTTGAAAGACATTTAGAGGAAGCTAGCTTCTCTAATCCCTCTGTATGTAACGTCTTCATAACATGTATGCACATCTTCGTAACATGGCAGCAGCCTGGCCAAAAGAAGGGAGAGGAAAACTTGAAAACAGACATAGGAACTGCTAGTTAACTTTATGTCTTGAGGTGACGAGGCTGTGGTGCACAGACATTTGAGCTAACACTCTCAGGTGTCTGTGGATTTTACCTCTAGATGACACTGACATTTAAATCAGTGGGTCCTGGGTAAAGAAAATCAACCTCTGTAAGGTGAGTGGGTCTCATCCAACCAGTGACAGGCCTGTGAAAAGAAGACCCATTTCCCCAGGAGAGGCAATTCAGGTAGCAGAAGGACTTTGAGCTGAAACTGCATTTCTCCACCTGGGTTTTCAGCCTGCAGGTAACCTTTCAGGTTCTGAACATTTCTAGACTCCATAGTCACACGAGCCAATTAAAAACAAAAACAGTTCTCTATCTATCTATCTATCTCAGTTGTATTTCTCTGGAAAACACTGGTAAGTACACACACATATATGCATCTGTATATTATTTTTTAATGTTATCCTGTCTCAAAAAAAAATGTAGGGTGCTGTAGAAACAGCTCTTGCAGAGGACACATGTCAGGCAGCTCACAACTGCTTATAACTCTAGCTCCAGGGTGATCAGATGCCTCTGGCCTCTGTGGTGCCGGCACTCATGTGCATATTTTCACACAGAGACAAGTAATCTAAATAAGCTTTTAAAATACAAATTCATAGAAGCTTCTCACTATGGAGATAAAAAAAAAAAATCCTACAAGTTGTCTTATGAGGGTTGTGTGTGTGTTTATGTATGTATGTGTTGTGTATGTGTGTATGTATATATGTGTATATG